CCCTTGTACCTTCTCTTTACTCTGGTTCCTGTTGTGTCTTTCAGGTTTACCTCCATCCCAGAAAGATGACTTTCTCCAGCCTGTGCTATCCAGAATGCGGGGTGGCCCGACCCAGTCCAGTCACTGGCACATGCAACGAGCCATGCGTTAGGCAGTGCCAGGACTCCGAAGTGGTGATCAGACCCTCACCGGTTGTCGTAACCCTCCCAGGACCAATTATGAGCAATTTCCCTCAGCATAGTGGCGTGGGAGCCGTAGGAGCACCTGTGGTCGGACCTGGTTTCGGGGGCTCATTCGGTCATGGGGGATTCGGCTATGGAGGCCTTTACGGAGGATTGTATGGTTTAGGTGGATACGGTGGTTATGGCGGCCATTACGGTTATGGGGGATTAGGTGGTTATGGGGGATTAGGTGGTTACCTGGGCGGTTATGGTTATGGGGGATTGTGTGGTTCCGGGGTATCTTGCCATAGGTACCTCAGTGGAAACTGTGGGCCATGTTAAACGTGTCAGGAATATTTGTTGAACAAGGAAGAACCAGGAAATGAACAGCAAGATACAGATTCACGCCTGATCTTTCAGGCATGGCTTTCAGAAGTGCTGTGCAAACATTGCTCCAGTTGAACTCAGTGGGAGCTGTGTGTGCGCAGCACCTTGGGCTGATAGCCGTGCTGCATTTCTACTGTTACGCTTTATGACTCTTTCTGCCAAGGCTTTGCCAACCAAGTGCTGATTCTCTTATTGACATGTGGACCCATTCTGAATTACACACAGGCTGTTTAGACTAACTCCGCAGTTTAAAGGAAATATGTTGCCTTAAGACAGGCATCCGCTACATTTAGTTTTATTTTATGTCCCTTGAGAGTGGGAAAAAGAAAGCATGCTGTGAAGGGGAATTGAACCCTATCTGTTCTATCCTTCCCATCAATACCCATCTTTAACGTCTCGCTTTGACCTTCTCTGTGGCAGATGTTTGATTGAGAAGCTGCATAGTCCTCTGCTTCTGTTCTGCTTTGTCTCACTTCTCACCGACTGGGGTAATAAAAGTCGCTTAAAATGGTTGCAGAGGGGACTTGTCAACTTCTACAGCTGCAACAAAACAAAAAAAATTAGTGTGTGAAATACATCCCATTGAGGTTGGTGATAGGACACAGCACTTCTTATAAAACTGAAAATATGTTCGTTCTGCTCTAGTATTTTTCCTGTAACTGTGTACTGGAAATTTCACTCGCATTAAAAACTCTGATGCATCATAATAGCCGTCTTCTGGTTCTCCTTGTTGCTCCCTCCTTCTCTGAACATTGACCTGGACAAAATTCGTCCCTGAAGAGCCAACAGCATCAGGCACTTCTCAAGATGTAACTTTTTGAAGATTTGGAGTGATAGGAGAATTCAGCCCTTGAAGTAGTTTACAGCATTATGAGGGGCTTCCATACTGGGGTGCAGTTCCACCTTGCATTACCTGTTTTAACAAAGTAAACTTAACTCTAGCGCGAACTCCTTGAATGGCAGAGCAACTTTCAGGACAAGATGCCTTTGCTTCTAGAGTGCTTTGAAAGCTTGGCTCTTCTCTAGAAAGTCCTTCCCAACGGGCACGTCTCAAATCACCCTCCCCATTCTATGGATCTTGCCTTCCCCAGGGTTTGGGTGTTTCCGCAGGGATTACTCATACAGACGAATGCTGGGAAAACTTTACTCACCTGCCCATTTGTTATGGGTGCTTTATCTGGAGCCCTCAGACCAAATCAAATCTCATTTCCATCACTACTGCTCCTCCAGAGGCTAAGGCTGAATGTTTAACCCAATATATCTCTGACATGTCATTTGAGAACATTTTGAATCATAAACTCTCCAACAGAGACTCTGCTGAAACCTCATTATGGAGTCAGCAGCCCTTTTTAGAATAATTCTCCTTTTTCCAGGAAATTCTTCTCTTCTCCTCTGATGGGCCCTCCAGTGACATGTAGCATGTAGCATCCGTCTCAGATGCAGTTTTTTATGACAACCTCGTGAGAGGTGACGTTCAACCAGCTCTGCTCCTTGACACCAACTTTGCACTCACTTTGCAGTGCTGGAGATGAGCTGACAAGATTTCGGGCAATGGGGCAAAACTAGTTCAGTTTCACACTGAGATTTTGGATTTCATTGCACCAGTAAAACTCAGTGAAATTCATCTTCTTCTGACTCTTTGCCCACATGTGTTCATCTACTGGCCAACAGAAACACCCATTCCTTGGTCAAAGTATGTTGCAAACACAACTGACTGCTTCCTTTCTGCCTGCCTCAGTTCTGCCCTTATAGAAAATCGACACTACACCAAGGTTATCTGCAGGAGTCATAAAAGGCAATGGAGCAAATAATTAAGGAATCAATTTGCAGACACCTAGAAGGTAATAAGGTGATAAGTAACACCGTGGATACCCAGAGGGAAGCTGTACATACTGACGGTCAAGGTTGAGTCCCCACTCTGGCACTTCGAGTGCAGAAAGTGGGGGCCCGCAAGGACTCTAAAAATTAATACTGGCCACTCCAGGCTTGTATTATCCTCCCAAGGTTACAGTTTTTCTCTGACCTTGGATTAGTAGATGCTGCCACCACCCAAGTGCAAAACCCCTTGGAGAACCCAGGAAGGCGGACTTGGGAATTCCTTCCTGTAGGATACCTCAAGCCCTTACACCCCTCCTCCTGGGAAGAGCTGAGAAGAAAAAGGTAATCAGCTGTGCCACCAACTAATGAAACAACATGTGCACAAACCTCTTAAGACACAAAAATCCAATTCTGTTCTTAAAAAAGGTCCATTTTATTAATAAAAAAAGAAGAAAATACGTCTGGGAGCTCAGGCTTTTGCTCGATCTATAAAAAAAACAACTACAAGAATTAAGCATCAAGAATAGCTCTCTTGAGATCCAGCTTAAAGGTTACAAGCAAAACAAAAGCACCTGGGGTTAGCACAGAGGAATCCACAAGCCAAAAGGAAATAAAAGGGATAAACCTAATCATGTCTTTCTAGAGATTTCCTTATCCAATTACATATCTGGGGTTTTAGGGGAATAGATTCTAGCTATGATACTGATGATTTTTCATCTCTGGGCTGTTCCCCAACCCACATGGTAAAACTCTGAGGCAAGAAAATCCACCAATAAGCGCAGGACCCACCAAGATAGAGGAGGAACTTTGTCACAATATGATACTGATGATTTTTCATACCTGGCCCAAGCTTGTCACAGCATAACTGCCCCCGTCTGCCTCTCCCCGAGAACAACAACAGACGACAAAAGGGGAGTCTTGTTTTAATTTTTAAAAGTTCTAGCCTTCCCTTTGGCTCTTTTGGACAGGTGCCCACTCACTTCCCTTTACCTACGCAGAGCAGTGAGACTTTTTTACCCTTTATAGGGAGAGCAATTAGAGAACAGCTCCTAAGAGGGATTTTATAGCTCCCAACTGGCTGGGTGTCCATAAAGGGGAGCTACACCCCACCCCGTGCCGCCCCTTCATTTATCACAGCTTGGGATTTCCAGTCCATTAAAAAAAATGTCACATAGAACATGGCTGGAAATGTCACATAAGAACCTAGCAGTCAGGGCCGTCTCTGGCTTTTTTGCCGCCCCAGGCAAAAAAGCCTCCCGCCGCCCCCCCGCCCCCTCCCAGCGCGGCAGGGGAGGGCACCGAGCCCGGCCGCAGGCCGCTCTCCCCAACCGGCCAGAGCGCAGGGAAGAGGGCGGCGAGCCCGCCACGGCTCCGCTCTCCCCGCTGGCCAGAGCGCCGGGGCAAGGGCGGAGTGGCAGCCAGA